GAAATGGACACACTATTGACACCAGAATTGCTACAGCTTAATTTATTAGTTCTGGTGTTGGCTTCTGCATTCAAGTCTTCTTGTCCAGTTGTAAGTAAGGAATCATGAGAAAAATGAGGTGTGCCACATGTAGGTATAAAAACATAGGAAAAAGATTCTAAGATAATGACACCTGGAAACCAGTTTGTGCAGTACAGGTGAGTGTGACCTTACCTCTGCTGCACAGATCAGTAAATAAACCAACAGGCTTTGCAGGGGTAAATAGGGAAAGCGATGAGAGACGAAAAAAAAAAAAATCCTGACAAAAACATGCTTTATAAAGAAAAAAAATGGCAGCCCTTCATCCTAAATCAAATGTTTTTAGAATGCGTCAGAAAGTGTCTTATCTAAGGCAAGCTGAAATCAAACAGAAGTAAGCATTAAAACTTGATACAGAAATCTGTTAGCAGTTCCAATGAAAGGGGCAAATTATACAATTATAGCATAAATCATCACAGTCTTAAAGGGACACTATAGTTACCAAAACAACTTTAGTTTAACCCCTTAAGGACATATGACATGTGTGACATGTCATGATTCCTTTTTATTCCAGAAGTTTGGTCCTTAAGGGGTTAATGAAGCAGTTTTGGTGTATTGATCATGCCCCTGCAGATTGTTTGCTCAATTCTTTGTCATTGAGGAGTTAAATAACTTTGTTTATGCAGCCCTGGTCACACCTTCCTGCATGTGACTTACACTTCCTTCTTAAACACTTCATGTAAAGAGTCACCCAATGTTTACACTTCCTTTATTGCAAATTTTGTTTAAGTTAGAATTTATCTCCTGCCCTGTTAATAGCTTGCTAGATCCTGCAGGAGCCTCCTTTATGTAATTAAAAAGTTAAATTTACAGAGTAGGAGATAAACATTTTATAAAAATTAAACCAACCCTGTTATTACGGCCAGGGGAGGTGTGGCTAGGGCTGTATAAACAGAAACAACAGTGATTTCACTCCTAAACGGCAGTGAATTGAGCAGTAAAACTTCAAAGGCAAGATCTATACACAAATGCTGATTCATTAAGCTAAAGTTGTTTTGGTGACTATATTCTCCCTTTAAGATAGGTTTCTCAGACAGATATACACAAAAGTAATAACTGGTTTTACTTTCTGGAATCAAAAATATGATTGCAAGAGTAACTTGCCCACTATTTTTTTTTTCTTTTTACCAACGGTTTGTATTTATCTACTTAAAACTGTCAGTATATGTGTAAATTTTCCCTTACTGTTCTCGTTCACTTTATTAAAGGCCTCAACTTGGCAATGTTTTAATAACTTTTTGCTGCCAAGAGTAAGTTATGTAAACAGATGTACTTTTGAGAGATAAAGTCCAAGCTTGAAAAGGTGTGACAGCTATTACCAAAAATAAGAAAGAAAAGTTCTTCAAGCAATCAACTTTAAAATATGATTATTATTTTTGGCATTTAAATAGCACCAACTTATTTTGCAGAGCTTTACAATATTATAAAGGGAGTAATTTAACAATACATGAGCCTACTACAAACTGTTACAGAAACAATGTTGATGAGGACCCAGTTGGGTAGAACTTACAATCAATATTGTATTTCTGGTTAGCAATCAAACACAAAGTATGTATTTTTTACTGGAAAGGCCAATTCCTCACTACTCCACCAACCCACCCCACAAAAGTGTAAAGGGATTTTTTTTTTTTTTAACCACTTGTCCAATTAACTAAAGCTGTAGTCCAATCTATTTGTCCAGACAGAAAAATATTCAATTACTTAGATTAGACCCTAAATTTTAAATTAACTTAATTCCCAGAATTCACTTTTATGAATAGCCCTGTAAATCTGAATTAAGTGAGCACCAGCTAGTGAGGATGTTATTATTGGCACAGGTACACACCACATTTCCCCTGTCCCGGCAATAATTCCCCTCCAGGTAGCCCTGACTCTTGCCTGGCACCCAAAACTGTATGTCCCAAAAGTTGGGTGGAAGGATTTTCACACCCCTGGAGTAATTAAAACTAATGTGTTCAAAAAAGTCACAGTACATTTTTCAGGGATAAATCCACAATCACTACTGTTTGTCAATTTATGTTAACCACATAGAATGTGACGGCAGATAAGAACCATTCGGCCCATCTAGTCTGCCCAATTTTCTAAATACTTTCATACTTTAGTTAGTCCCTGGCCTTATCTTATAGTTAGGATAGCCTTATGCCTATTCTATGGATGCTTAAACTCCTTTACTGTGTTAACCTCTACCACTTCAGCTGGAAGGCTATTCCATGCATCCACTACCCTCTCAGTAAAGTAATACTTCCTGATATTTTTAAACCTTTGTCCCTCTAATTTAAGACTATGTCCTCTTGTTGTTGTAGTTTTTCTTCTTTTAAATATAGTCTCCTTTACGTATTTAAATGTTTCTATCATATCCCCCCGTCTCGTCTTTCCTCCAAGCTATACATGTTAAGATCCTTTAACCTACATGTGCCAAGTCAGAGATGACCAACTCCTTTCTAAAGGAAGTAATCATGTATACCAATAATGATAGAATGAAACTGTACTGAGCTCACAAAATTGTTTGCTTGTATACCACATATATACACATGAGGAAGAGAACAAAAAAAAAAAAAAATACAGTGTACAAAAAAACCCAAAAAACTTTTAGACTTACTTAAAACAAAATAACTTAAGAGTACAAGTGGTCATGAGCTAATAAGTAACGTACATATTAAATGATCAACAACATGTACACACCCTTCAAGTTAAACATCTGGACCCATTAACATGCTTACTCAACAAAGACAGCTCCTGTCATGGGTGGTCTCCAATGATACACAGCCTTAGTTTGCTTGGATGTGCAGAATAATGAAAATCTCACATTTGCTGAAATGAGTTTTACTAGAGTCACATTAACTTGCAGAAGCATCACAGGAATTGTAGTACATTTCAAGTTTGTGTGCCAGAGATTAGTTCTAATGATTAATCACCAGCTACATAGCCAATAAACTAGTGGTAGTGGTTGACTAATATGGTAATAAATAAACAGTAATTCACACAGTTATGACACTAAATCCTTCCAGTAGGTACCTGTCCAAGACAAAAAGCATCATAACAGCATCGAAGTCACAGGAAAGATTGGATTAACAGACATCATGTGGCAGAATATAAACGTCTCTTAATAGAGGAGTAGTAATTTAATAAACTGTGCTCTGTAAGCTCTCACAGTATAACTGTACTGGGTAGGAGTGTGGAGGGGGTCAATGCCCGTCTAGGTAGGTACATAGAAGAGATGAACTGTAAGCTGTCACTGTATAACTATTCGGTGAGTGGGGTCATTACTGGACAAGGTATGTACACAGAAGGGATGAACTGTAAACTGTCACTATAAAACTGTGCAGGCTGCCTGTGATATGCAGGGCAGTCACTTTCTGTCTAGGTAGGTACATAGAAGGGCTGCTTTGGGCTCCCTGTGATGTGCAGGGGAAGCCATACGTAGGTAGATCCTCTATAAGCTGTCACTGTATAACTGTGTAGGGGCAGTCACTTTCTGTTTAGGTAGGTACAAAAGAGATGCTCTATAAGCTGTAACTGTGCTGGCTCTCTGTGATGTGCAGGGCAGTCATTGCCTGACCAGCTAGGTACACAGAATGGATGCTCTGTAGGCTGTGGCTGTAACCGTACAGGGGGTCACTTTCTGTCTAGGTAGGTACACAGAAGGGATGCTCTGTAGGCTGTGACTGTATAACTGTGCAGGGGGTCACTTTCTGTCTAGGTAGGTACATAGAAGGGATGCTCTATAGGCTGTGACTGTGCAGGGGGTCACTTTCTGTCTAGGTAGGTACATAGAAGGGATGCTCTATAGGCTGTGACTGTGCAGGGGGTCACTTTCTGTCCAGGTAGGTACACAGAAGGGATGCTCTGTTGGCTGTGACTGTAACTGTGCAGGGGGTCACTTTCTGTATAGGTAGGCACACAGAAGGGATGCTCTGTTGGCTGTGACTGTATAACTGTACAGGGGGTCACTTTCTGTCTAGATAGGCACACAGAAGAGATGCTCTGTTGGCTGTGACTGTATAACTGTACAGGGGGTCATTTTCTATCTAGGTAGATACATAGAAGGGATGCTCTGTAGGCTGTGACTATATAACTGTGCAGGGGGTCACTTTCTGTCTAGGTAGGTACATAGAAGGGATGCTCTGTAGGCTGTGACTAACTGTGCAGGGGGTCACTTTCTGTCTAGGTAGGTACATTGAAGGGATACTCTGTTGGCTGTGACTGTATAACTGTACAGGGGGTCACTTTCTATCTAGGTAGATACATAGAAGGGATGCTCTGTAGGCTGTGACTATATAACTGTACAGGGGGTCACTTTCTATCTAGGTAGGTACATAGAAGGGATGCTCTGTAGGCTGTGACTGTATAACTGTGCAGGGGGTCACTTTCTGTCTGGGTAGGTACATAGAAGGGATGCTCTGCAGGCTGTGACTGTGTGACTGTGCAGGGGGTCACTTTCTGTCTAGGTAGGTACACAGAAGGGATGCTCTGTAGGCTGTGACTGTGCAGGGGGTCACTTTCTGTCTAGGTAGATACATAGAAGTGATGCTCTGTAGGCTGTGACTATATAACTGTACAGGGGGTCACTTTCTATCTAGGTAGGTACATAGAAGGGATGCTCTGTAGGCTGTGACTGTATAACTGTGCAGGGGGTCACTTTCTGTCTGGGTAGGTACATAGAAGGGATGCTCTGCAGGCTGTGACTGTGTGACTGTGCAGGGGGTCACTTTCTGTCTAGGTAGGTACATAGAAGGGATGCTCTGTAGGCTGTGACTAACTGTGCAGGGGGTCACTTTCTGTCTAGGTAGGTACATTGAAGGGATGCTCTGTTGGCTGTGACTGTATAACTGTACAGGGGGTCACTTTCTATCTAGGTAGATACATAGAAGGGATGCTCTGTAGGCTGTGACTATATAACTGTACAGGGGGTCACTTTCTATCTAGGTAGGTACATAGAAGGGATGCTCTGTAGGCTGTGACTGTATAACTGTGCAGGGGGTCACTTTCTGTCTGGGTAGGTACATAGAAGGGATGCTCTGCAGGCTGTGACTGTGCAGGGGGTCACTTTCTGTCTAGGTAGGTACATAGAAGGGATGCTCTGTAGGCTGTGACTGTATAACTGTGCAGGGGTCACTTTCTGTCCAGGTAGGTACACAGAAGGGATGCTCTGCAGGCTGTGACTGTGTGACTGTGCAGGGGGTCACTTTCTGTCTAGGTAGGTACATAAAAGGGATGCTCTGTAGGCTGTGACTGTGTGACTGTGCAGGGGATCACTTTCTGTCTAGGTAGATACATAGAAGGGATGCTCTGTAGGCTGTGACTGTGCAGGGGGTCACTTTCTGTCCACGTAGGTACATAGAAGGGATGCTCTGTAGGCTGTGACTGTATAACTGTGCAGGGGGTCACTTTCCGTCTAGGTAGGTACATAGAAGGGATGCTCTGCAGGCTGTGACTGTGCAGGGGGTCACTTTCTGTCTAGGTGGGTACATAGAAGGGATGCTCTGTAGGCTGTGACTGTATAACTGTGCAGGGGGTCACTTTCTGTCTAGGTAGGTACACAGAAGGGATGCTCTGTAGGCTGTGACTGTGTGACTGTGCAGGGGGTCACTTTCTGTCTAGGTAGGTACATAGAAGGGATGCTCTATAGGCTGTGACTGTGCAGGGGGTCACTTTCTGTCCAGGTAGGTACATAGAAGGGATGCTCTATAGGCGGTCACTGTGCAGGGGGTCACTTTCTGTCCAGGTAGGTACATAGAAGGGATGCTCTATAGGCTGTGACTGTGCAGGGGGTCACTTTCTGTCTAGGTAGGTACATAGAAGGGATGCTCTGTAGGCTCTGACTGTATAACTGTGCAGGGGGTCACTTTCTGTCTAGGTAGGTACATAGAAGGGATGCTCTATAGGCTGTGACTGTGCAGGGGGTCACTTTCTGTCCAGGTAGGTACATAGAAGGGATGCTCTATAGGCGGTCACTGTGCAGGGGGTCACTTTCTGTCCAGGTAGGTACATAGAAGGGATGCTCTATAGGCTGTGACTGTGCAGGGGGTCACTTTCTGTCTAGGTAGGTACATAGAAGGGATGCTCTGTAGGCTCTGACTGACTGTGCAGGGGGTCACTTTCTGTCTAGGTAGGTACATAGAAGGGATGCTCTGCAGGCTGTGACTGTGCAGGGGGTCACTTTCTGTCTAGGTAGGTACATATAAGGGATGCTCTGCAGGCTGTGACTGTGCAGGGGGTCACTTTCTGTCCAGGTAGGTACATAGAAGGGATGCTCTATAGGCTGTCACTGTGCAGGGGGTCACTTTCTGTCCAGGTAGGTACATAGAAGGGATGCTCTGTGCTGGCCCAAGGCCTGGCTGTATGGTCACACTGAGGGGCTGCACACAGGACAGGGGATACACATGACATGACACAGTAGAGTGGTGTATGTGAGGACACCCCAGGCCTTCTACTGGTCACATGATCTCCCCCTGAGCAGGAAGCCCAGAGAAGAAGATAACAGGAAGAACCCTGACACTAGAGGATGGTGCCCTCACCTCCATGGTGGACACTGTGCTGGTGAAGAGGTCCTCGCCGTCATCCAGCTCCTCAAAGTCAGTGTGTCTCCCATCCCCAAGCGGTGGGGGCTCCCTCTCTGCTGCCATCTTGACTCAAAACTGTCAGAGCAGCAGCTCCTCCCTCCTCCTCCTCCCTGCTCAGCTTGTGCGATCACGTACAGGCCAGCGCGTGACCCTCTCCAGGGTGACCAGCGGGCGTCACCTGGCGCGGGATGGAGCCAATCACAGGAGAGATCACTGGGAGGACAGCGCGGCCATCTTTGGTACGGGCAGCTTCCAAACTGAGGACAAAATTAGATTCTTCATTTTTATCGTGATAGGAAATAGAGTTTATACTATTACATTGTGTGTATATTCCTCTCTAATTCTGCCCTCCTCCTTCTAATTCTGCTCTTTAAAACGCTTTTACCGTTGCATCTAGGTTAAGACCTTAACCCCGCCTCTACCCGCCCACAATCTTGTAACTCCGCCCCGCTCACACATCTTGCTCCGCCTCCTAGTCACAAATATCATGCTGCATCCAGCCTTCCTCTATTTGGCCCCGCCCGCTCGCCTTGAGACCCTGCCTCCAGGTAGTGAGCTCCGCCTACCTAGTGCTGCTAATACACTGCCTGTGTGTTGCTCTGCACCTCACACACAGCGCATCAATCAGTGTGTTAATATAGACTGCATTAAAGGGACACTACAGTCACCAAAACAATTATTTCTTCTTACTCACATTGTTACAGCCATCATTTAGCTTACAGGACCTTCATTTGCCTCTGTATAGTGCCATATGTCTCTATAAAGAGATGTAATCACCCTGTATGCAGAAGCATGTAGACAAATATGCATCTACAGAGAGGTATTTACAAGCATGTCATTTTTAGAGACATATGTAAGTGCGTGCCTCTATAGAGAGGCCTACACAGTATATGTCTCCACATAGAGTTATTTACATGCATATTCATTTCATGGAGGTTTGTGTATGTCGCTATGTAGAGGCTTTATACACATACTTTTGCCTTTATAAAAAGATATGCTTGAAAATACCGGTATATAAAAATATTTATGTATATGCCTCTGTAAAGAAGTATATGCATGCATGTGTCTATACAGAGGAATGTATATAAATATGTCTTTGTATAGAGGTATTTACATTCAAACCTTTCTACAAAGACATCCATAGAAATTTCCACCAAAGTGAGAATTTAAAGTGAATTTCAAATTTAAGGCCAATGTAGCAGAACTGAAAAAAAAGTCTAAGTCTGCAAAGCTTTCAGTTCATCTAACTTTGTCTAAAACTTGAAACAAGGGCTGGCCATAGGGGTGTGCAAGCTGTGCAGGTGGTGCCGGGCGGCCGACACAGCTCACACATGTCCGGCTACCCAAGTGGTGGATCTGCACACGGGACTATGAATGAAAATAACATGACAGCACGTGTGGCGCTTACTGAGTGGTGGGGGTTTACAGAGCTGTGGAGGCGAGATTTAAATGGCTGCGGGGACGGAACTAAAAGTGCCCAGCAACAGAAGCCTGGTAACTGCTGCACAGGAAGTGGGAAGCAGGAAGGAGTCACTGCCTCCACTACTCTCTTCCAGCCCATAAGGGAAAGAGGTAACTGTGTAAATCCCTATGTGTGTGACTATCTGCCTGTGTGTGACTGTAACTGCATGTGACTGTCTGCCTGTGTGTGACTGTAACTGCATGTGACTTTCTGCCTGTGTGTGACTTTAACTGTGTGTGTGACTATCTACCTGTGTGTGACTGTAAATGTGTGTGACTTCTTGTGCGTGTGTGTGAGACTGTCTGCATGTGTGTGACAGTCTGCCTATGTGGGTGACTGTAACTGTTTGTGTGACTGTAACTGTGTGTGTGACTGAAACTGTGTGTCTGACTGTCTGCCCGTAACTGTGTGTGTGAGACTGTCTGCCTGTAACTGTGTGTGACTTTCTGCCTCTAACTGAGTATGTGTGTATGTGTGTGGTAGATACATAGAAGGGATGCTCTGCAGGCTGTGACTGTCTGCCTGTAATTTATTGCGTGTGACTGCTTCTGTGTCTTTGACTGCTTGCTTGTAACAGTGTGTGTGACTGTCTGCATGTGTGTGTGTGATTATCTTTCTGTTAGTGTGTGTGTGTGTGTGTGTGATTATCTGCCTGTACCTGTATGTGACTGTCTGCCTGTAATGGAGTGGCTATGACTGTCTACCTCTGTGTGCATCACTGCTTGTAAGTGTGTGTGTGACTCTCTGCTGGTTACTGTATGTTTTTGATTGCTTGTAACTGTGTGTGTGATTGCCTTTAATTGAGTGTGTGTGTGTGTGTAGCTGTCTGCCTGTAAATGTGTGTATGATACTGTCTTCTTGTAACTGTGTGTCACAGTATTATATGACATACTTAGTCTGCCCCTCTGTAATGCTGGGGAGGCAGTCTGGCACCTCTGGTCTGCACTCCTGTTGGCTGCAGATCATAAGTAGCTGTTTTCCAAGTGCATTTCTGCGAAACAAAATGGCCGCCACTGATAATTGAGACGGGCGGTGAGAGAGCACTCTTTCCTGCTCAGCTCCCTCATGCACACCGCAGTGATGCTAAAGCCGGAATATGACGTCACTCTGGCCCCGGTATCACTAAGAGGCGCCACGAGAAAGCTAAGGCAGGAAGATCACTGCTCCCTGGCCGCCCCCACACTGTATGCCCGCATGCCAGCTGCTCAGCCCAGCAGCCCCACTAGATCCCAGGGACTGCACGCCAGCTGCTCAGCCCAGCAGCCCCACTGGACCCAAGACCACACATCAGCCGCTCAGCCCAGCAGTCCCACTGGACCCCAGGGACCGCACGCCAGACGCTCAGCCCAGCAGCCCCACTGGACACCAGGGAAATAGAGACTCCATGCCAGCAGGCTGGGTGCAGTGAAATTTGAAAAAATAAATACATTGTGTGTATGTGTCTGTTAAGGAGTTTGTATGTGTGTTTGTCAGTGAGTGTGTGTGTATGGGTGTTTTACACTGAGAGTGTATTTGTGTTTGTCAGTGAGTGTGTATGTGTGCTTGTCAGTGTGTGTGTATCTGTGTTTGTCAGTGAGTGTGTATGTGTGCATGTCAGTGAGTGTGTGAGTGTGTATGTGTTTGTCAATGAGAATGTATGTGTGCTTGTCAGTGAGAGTGAATATGTGTTTGTATGTGTGTTTGTCAGTGAGAGTGTATGTGTGTCTGTCAAAGAGTGTGTGTGTCAGTGTGTGTATCTGTGTGTCAAGGTTTATGTATGTGTCACTGTGTGTATCAGTGAGTGAGTGAGTGTGTGTGTGTGTGTATGTCAGTATGTTTTGTGACAGAGAGCATTGTTATGGATGGAGTGTATAGTTCTCCAAAAGTATTGGAACTTGTAAATTAATATCCCCAGGAAGAAGGTCTGTCTGTTTTAGTCAAAGCAATTTTGCAATTTAATATGGGTTCCTGGGGTGGAGCCTTTAGAGTGAAGGAGGGCCAGTGCGCCATTCCACAGTTTATATACAGCACAGCATGTGAGCAATCCAATCCAGGAGTTTTGGATCACCCAGATAGCTGCTCACCTGTTGGCAATGATTAGCCTTGGACTGCTATAAAATGTCCCTGTCAGGCAGTGGTGTATCCTGGTTTTGTGCTGCCCTAGGCAGGACAAAACTTAGGCGCCCCCCCCCGTGCACGACCCCCACCCATCCCTTCCCCCCGCCCGCCTTCTAAATACACACACACACACACTGACAGATACGCATACACTAGCTAACAAAAACACACACTCACTGACACACACACACACACTCACTGACACACTCACAGGCAAACATACACACACACACACACACAAACAAACACACTCACTAACAGACACACACACTCACAGGCAAGCACACACTCACTAACAGACACTCACTAACAGACACACACTAGCAGACACACACTAGCAGACACACACACTCACTGACACACACACTCACAGGCAAACACACACTCACTAACTAACAGACACACTCACTAACAGACACACACACTCACACACACACTAACAGATACACTCACTAACAGACACACTCACTAACAGACACACTCACACACACACTAACAGACACACTCACACACACTAACAGACATACACACACTCACTCACATTAACACATTTATTTTTTTTAAGCCCCCCCCAGCCTCCTTACCTTTGGCAGTGCTAGGGGGGGAAGGGGTTCTCTATCTCCCTGGGGGTCCAGTGGCTGCTGGGCAGGCAGGCGGCTGGCGAGGGAGCACTTCCCCTGAGCACTCTGCTCAGCTCCCTCGCGCGCCTCAGAGTTAGGCTGGGAGCCGGGTTGATGACGTCATATTCCGGCTCCCAGCCTCACTCTGCGGCGCGCGAGGGAGCTGAGCAGACCGCTCAGAGGAAGTGCTCCCTCGCCAGCTGCCTGCCCGCCCGCCCAGCCCAGCCCAGCATGTTAGTTAGCCGCAAGGCTAACAAGGCATTTGCCCTGGGCATTTGGCGGGGCGGCTTTTTTTGCCGCCCCCTGGAAAATGCCGCCCAAGGCAAATGCCTTGTTTGCCTCGCGGCTAAAACGTCCCTGCTGTCAGGGATTCACAGGGAGAAGGACGAGCAGTGTGTGAGACTGTATTTCTCCCTACAAGAGTCTTTGTGTTCTGAAGGAGAAAGGAATCATTTATATGAAAAAGGTCTGTGCTCAAATTTGTATTTTGTATGGTTGGAAGCGGGTAAGCCGCTCAACAGCAGTTATAGAAAAAAAACTGTGAGTTAGTGCTCAGAAGAGCAAGGCTTTTTTTGTTTGTTTTTGTTTTATTTTTGTTTAAATTGCCAGGCCTCTTAATAAAGAAAAAGATTTCATTTACAAGAAATTCGATTTGTGTGGTGTTACTATCACTAAAACTGTGTGGTTGTGTGTATGTGTGTATGTGTGTATCAAGGTTAACCCCTGCTCTATACACACACATACACGGGAGGGGTATGACTGGAGGGAGTGGGGGGCTGTGAAGATTTTTTTGCACAGAACACCTAATGGCCTAAGGCTGGCCCTGCTTGAAATTCACTTTAAATCATCACTTTAGTGAATAACCCAGATACTTACTTATGTCT